AATGAGGCTTCTTGGATTTAACTAGCATATTAGCGATCACGTAGCTTGCTTTTTGCACTAAGTCTGATGTTTTGAAAGACAAACTCATGAGAGTTTTCTGTTTCTTAGACTGATTTTTAAAACGTTGAAAAAATGCTTTGTTGAACTACCGATGGGTGTTTAGTAGTTAAATGTCGTAAAAGTTTACTGCGCACCATCGAATTATTACCCAAATTTTCTGCACAAACAAGACATGTAATATATAAAGCCATAACTTATATAACTCTCATCATATTTTCGATTAACGAGCTTAGGTTTTTTCTTCGTTGACTCTCCGTTGAAGCTCCTTGCTCGTATAACTGTTAGTTATAGGTGTATTAACATCATAACTTTCTGACAAAACTTGACATATTTCTGCGGCACACCAACTAATAACCACAGTACACCAGTGTGCCGCGGCCATAGACTTACTACACTAGACCGCGCCTCCCTAGTAGCTGCTATAAGAGCGTGTGTTGCCAAGATAGGTAGCCAACCCGTAGTCCAAGGAGGGGCAGAAAAGCGAATGTAGCATTCAAGGTAGTGCATATCTCCTTTACTACAAATTGCGGTATTATTTTAGAGCAAACCCTAGGCTTATATAAAAACAAACGGAAAATAATAAATGGAAATTTCGCAATTTTTAAGTCGTATTCGACTATTCAGTGTTGACCAAAAACTTTGTCTTTACAAATTTTACTCGTCTCGTATGTGATTTCGCTTATATCGGAATTTACGTGGAAGAGTGGTAATAGCAAAAACACAATTCATTTTGACAATTTATATTGTTTTGTTTACAAACTCCTTATAATAAGAAAAATCAAAACTGTACAAAACAAAACGTATAAAAATGAAATTGAGAACCGCACTCAGGATTCTTATAAAGTACTATGCTGTAGTGCAATTTGGTAACCTACTGGTTTTTAAATAACGTTAGTTTGTGATATATTTGCCTTATCCTGACATTAATTTCATCCACATTTCTGTTTTGATTATGTATGCGAAGCGTGAATATCAGGATGATTATTTGATTGTACGTAAAACCTAAACATATTTTCAGCGGTACCACAAATGCTTACGACATCATTTGAAGCAGTTAACAATCCTCCCCGATTTTTTCTGTTCAAAAGATATGAGTTACTTTCTACCGCAAATAAAGCATCTGCACAAATAGCACATTTGATTGACTTGGCTATTTTTCTAGACACTAAACCAGATATGTACTCGGTAACATTGATTAAATATGAAGACAAATTTCCGAAATACGGAACTTGTTCGCTTCCTTCGTCTGTTGCGGTTTCAGAAAAAGCGTTCAGAAGATCATCGACATCGTCTTTTTGATTGCCACTACTTACTGTCAAAATAGAAGTATTGTCCACGCACACGCAATTTGCAGAAGTGGGTGCTTCAATTTCAGTTTTCAATGAAAGCCTCTTGTAGGCACCTTCAAATTGTTCCGCTGTGGGATTGTTATTGAATCCACTTCTTGATCTGATAGCCGAAAAGAACATCTCGATGTGATCTTGGCTTACTTTGTACGTTAGGAAGTAGTGCATGTGATTTTGTTTGACCAAATCTTCGAATAAGTTTTGTACGCTTAGGATAGATATGATCAAGCCTAGGAATCCAGTTTTTCTACGAGTGGTTAGGATACATTCTCTGTTATCAGTCTTAAGTGTAGCTAAGTAGCGTATGAAATTTTTAAAAAAATTTGAGAAGGAAGCTTCATTATCGAAAGACAATGGCTTTCCGCAAGTAGCATTCGAAAAGATATTTCTGGAATTGAGCGCATCAAACACATTATTAATTTTTCTGCAAAAATTTTATGTGCCTTCTGAGTCAATAAAAGTCGGTAAATGAAGATCTGTATTGTAGAAATCCAAAGCATCTGCAACACTTGTGCTCAAAGCTTGTACAGCTAATCTGACTTTCATAATTTCCCATCGGAACTGTATGTGCTTTTTTGTCAATTTGTTAGCAGCATGTAGGCCTTCAGTCTGTTGCAAAGTAACAAGCTTATTAAAGAAATCCCATTTAATTTTCCGCCCTTCTTCGTCTAAAAGTATACACCAATCGGCAAGAATATTTCTGACAAGTTTCACCATGTTACAAGGGTCTAGTGTTATATGGACACGTTTATTGTGCACAGGATGTCGAAACTAGGGTTGTGCATCAAGATATCTTAAATTTGCTCCCGATTTTGATGCAACAGCAAAATTTGTTGCAGTTCCGTCAAATGTCATAGAGTTTTCTGCCCCTCCGTGCTGTTTGGGTTGAATATCATCTTGACAACGACTCGCCACGCGTAGTCTAGAGGAGTAAATCTATGGCCGCGGCACACACTTTGCGGAACACTGCTCTACAGGATTCTTCAACAGGAACCATATAATTAAATGTTAATTATAAATTAAAAGTTGGCCCGCTGATATTACATCAAACGCAGCGAATAACATTTGCGTATGTTTTTGTTTTTGTTGTTGTATTATGATGCTTGTATATTCTATAGCGCAATCTATGAATTACTATTAATACATTGAAATATCTACCAGTATCTGAAAGCATTTATAAAACTGAAGTGAATTTCCTAGGAGTTTATCTTGATTCCACAATAGTTTGGGACAAACATATAGAACATATTTCGGGACAATTGTGCAAGACCATTTATCTCCTAAAAAATCTATTTAGTAAAATCAGTACAAAACTGATGTTGTTGATTTATTTTTCTTTATTTCACTCTGTTGCGTCGTATGCTATAATATCATCTTACCACATGCACAGAATCTTTAAATTGCAACGACGGGCTATACGTATTGTCATGGGATTGCAGTATANAGAAATCTATTTAGTAAAATCAGTACAAAACTGATGTTGTTGATTTATTTTTCTTTATTTCACTCTGTTGCGTCGTATGCTATAATATCATCTTACCACATGCACAGAATCTTTAAATTGCAACGACGGGCTATACGTATTGTCATGGGATTGCAGTATAAAGATGATGTGAGGGATTTTTTTTGTAAGTCACAATATAATGACAGTTCCATGTCTATATATATACAGGACTCTAATACATATATTTAAAAAGTAATCTCTCAAGATATCATACAGTTCAGAGTGTGCATAATCACGCCGTACGATCGCAACAAAATTTGAGGTTTAAAAAAAAAAGGAGTTTTACAAGAGTGGATCGAGGTCGAAATGCTGTCAATCATTTTGGGCCGTCACTTTATAATAAATTGCCACAAGATGTAAAGGATCTTCCAGTGAAACATTTTAACACTAGAATAAAAGACTACTTACTTAGACGTGCCTTTTATTCCATAGAAGACTTTGACTTTACATAACTAATTAAGATTTGTTTAGCTTGTGCGTATGTTATTGGTGTATATTTTGTTTGTATTTTATCTGACTTGTGTAATGAATGTAATGTTCAGTGACACCAATAAATCTGAATCGGAATTAATTATAGATCTTACATTAAAATAACAAATAAAATATTCACATCGTTTCACAATTATCATAAAATGTTTAAAAGTAATAAACTTTCTAACGACTTTTGATGCAGTTTTACACTTTATTGATTCACTTGTATGCTTTTATGAACATTTCTACAGAAGTCCTTTCTACCGATTATCCTTTCAAAGATTTCTTCTTCTGGAACCATGTAAATTAAACAATACTTTCTATTCATCTCTTTCGGATCGTTACGACGTCATACGCAGTAAATATTTCCGCCTACATTCCGTGTTATAGCCACATGTATTATGTATTATCCGCCGGTGAAGAAAGTATTATTATCTTCATTGATAGATAAAATTATTTACCTGTTTATATTGGGTGTTTAGGAAAACTTCAATATCTATTTCCGAAATCGGGAACAAAACATTCAAAGAATTTTCACCAATTCGAATTTCATGATGTGGTCATGGCATATATGAAAGATTTTTGATCTTATTACATACATAATTAATTTAGTAGTACTTCCGGAATCCTTCTTAATGAATATTTTAAAGATTTATTTATTTTTGTTAGGAATTAAGTTACGTCTAATTGATTACGATTTATTTTCATTAATATACCATGTGGTTGTTTGTTTTCAAAATAATATGCTGGTGTTATATAATAATTTGAGTGAATGATGCATAGCCTGTAACACAAGGTACTAAATTAAATATTATGTGTTGGCGAAGCAATAAAAATAGAATTGATTACTTTTACAATGCTATATAAGGCGAATATTACCATAAAAAAAATTAGACACAATAAAAATTTCTGTAATTAATAAATTCGTGTACAGTCGAAATTATCTGTGAATGTTTCCAACTAATTGTAAGCATAACTATAATAATGTTACGTAGACTATATTACAAATGTTTTACTACTTATGGATTAAATACAAAACGGTAATCATCTTGATACAGTGTTTTAGTCACTTTATTCCATGACGTTTTAAATTATGACTCATTAATTTCAGTAATCCCCCGAGGTATAACCATTAAAATCAACTTCTAAAAGAAACAATTTGAGATACGTGGAAATATCAATAAATTTGTATAAAGCTTTTTATTAACTTTTAATCTTAATACAACTTCTTTAAACAACAACAATTATTGTCAATGGCAACAACTAGTGGGGTTAGAATAATTTTACAGGAACCAATTCCTCTAATTAAAAGCCAGTAATTAGTTCTGACTTCGTAATAACAACTTGGTATTACGAACAAAATGCTAGTTGTAAGCTATCGGCCTCAAAATTGTTTAATTTTCGTTCGAATAACCTTATAATACCATGGGGTAAATAGAGACCAAAAGCGTAGAATATATTCCCCATATTGGTATCATAAGTCATAAAAAATTCTCGTATTATAAGGATTAAGGCAAACGCATAGACCATAACAACAGCTGGGCGTGGAAAATGATGTGACGTAGTTTGCGGGCAGGTTGTCACAACAATGGATGTAGCAGTCCTGTTAGATTCTACTGTCCTTGACCGAATACCAGAAATCAAAACATATTAAACAGAAAGAAACAGCACAGAGATTCCAAATATTTAAATGAACTTTGTCTAGAATCATTAGGAAACATGAGCCAATTATGGGTAATATGCAGCTCGTTATTAAAGAATTTTAAACAAAAAATTATCAGGACTTAGAATATCAGTTAATGTTTATAAAAAATTGCCTGTTGAGAATTGAGATACATTAAAAATACGTTATTGTAGATACTTAGAGTAGTGGTTCTCAACTGCCCTTCCACGGAACACTACTGTTGACACTGTTTTATACGCCGCTTCATTTTATAAAAAACTTGTTTAATAGATTCAATTGTTTTTCCAAACAGATAAGGTTATTTATACGGATTATTTTAATTAACTCCTGAAAGTTTAGACAGTTTTGAAGAAAGTTGTGATGGTGTTCAAGAGGATAATGATTAAAGAGGTGGGATAAAAAGATAGGGTGCACAAAAATGATTTATTGGCGAGAAAAAGCCGATTATCGCCAAGAAATTAATTGACAACATTACGAACAGTGTTTCAGACATGTGTTGTCCATAATTCCTGCGAGATCTGTTATTATGATAGATCAAGCCTGATACTATACTATGTTAGATCCTAGTTTTAGAAATGCCACTACCGCATGGAAAAAAGGGGGTATCAGGAGTGAAATGTGCCGGTACCCGAAAGTTATACAACTTTTTCATCGGTGATCAAACAACAGCTTTTACAACTGTCACGCCCTATCATTATTAGAGACGTTATCTGTTGTAACCTTTAGTATGACATATTAGGGGTGGTACGCTAAAATTATTTTGGTTATTAGCAAGTAACTGTGAATTTAACGCAATTAAATTAATATCGATTTATTAATTATAAATGAAGTGGCAAGGAACAACACCACCTTTAAAATTAACGACATTCGTAACTTGTATCAAAATTCAATTGCTTGAATTACTTCACAAATCATGCAAAATTGCGCCAGACATGTTAAAAAAACTGAGGATAAGTACATAGAAGAATAACATCTGAATCCCGGTCTAGATTCCAGATTTTTTAGGTACCTTGTATAAGAAGTATTTTTATTTCATTATTGCGACCATATCTAAAACTAGCAATCTAATACTATTCTTAAAATATACATCTTAAGCGAAGCATCTGAACTAGAATAAATGAAAAACTTCAAAAAGAAACAACAAAATAGGGCCTATTTGAAGACGTAAATTTACACGATGACGTTTAATTTTACATGATAAAGATCTCTTGAATCAATTTAAATTTCAATCTATTGAAAAATGAATGTTTTAACTTAATTTTAGTTCAGCGATTAACATATGTACAAAGCTTGAGCATAATTGAACCAGTAGATTTTGGAATCAAAAACGCGATTGAAGTTTTTATAACTATCATGTTATGGAAACTTTGAAACAAAAGTATTTACAGTTAATTTGCTACACCATTTCTTATAAGCCGTACATATCATGCAAGATTGCCCTTTCGTCTCTGTTATGCGTTGTTT